TTCCATCAGAGAGAGTGCATCCCTGATCATTCACTTTGTCCGACAAAGGGGCTGATCCTGTCACTATGATCACCCACTCAGATGAATTCTCGGACTGTCCCAACATACCCATGTTTTGACCCCCTCTAAGGATCTCACTGATTGGCATATCAAAGATAGCCCAATTTGACACATAGTGCAGTATCATAATCGAGTCTAGGGGTCAGGTGTAACATTCCAGTTTTGTCCATCTATCTCCAAGGTCCAAGGCAATACTGGAATTCTGGTCTGGTTCAGGGTTTCATGAAAACCCACACTACATGTACCTCAAGTCTCACCCTGGCAGTTGAGACAAGCCACCCCAACCAACTTGGCGGCACATCAATGCCAGCCTTGGCATGATAAATCTCCCTCGATCTATCCAACGACTATGAAGATTCTAAACTAACAAAAATCTCATAAGTGTCCAGTTTAAGGGTATTACACAGAAACACACCATAATAACATGAATCAAATATGTACTTTATTCATTTTCATTAAATGTCATAATGTACATCATTCTGATTGGAGCTAAGGGGATACACTGTCTAACAGTAAAATGACTGGTGTGGTGGACACTACAAGAAGAACGGTCTACATTGAGGAACTACCAAGACCTAACAGAGAAATGGTGGCAGAAGAGGTCGCTCCTATTATGGATGTAGAGTCGAGCTGGATGGACCTGTTTGTTGATTATCTGTGCTACGGGATCTTACCTATAGAGCGCAATGTAGCTCAGAGGGTAAAGTGGTAGTCAGCTCGCTATGTAATCATTGGTGAACAACTGTATCGTAGGTCATTCACGCTTTCCTACCTGTACTACTTGCGCCCAACTGAAGCAAACCAGGTGCTACACGAGATCCAAGAAGGTCTCTATGGAGGACACTTGGCGAGTAGGGCACTCGCCCAAAAAGCACTACAACAAGGCTACTAGCCTATGATGAAAGGAGACATGCTTGAATTAGTTCAGAAGTGTGAGAAGTGCAAGTGGCATGCTAACATACAACATCAGCCCGATGCTGACCTAAGGTACCTTATCAGCCCATGGCCATTTGCATAGTGGGGGATATATTTATAACCAGTCCCTTTCCACCTGCAACCGGGTAGATGAGGTTCTTGGTCATCGCGATTACTTCACGAAGTAGGTGGAACCCGAGCCGTTGGTATTCAACACAGTTTGGAACGTGCAGAACTTTTCTGGAAGAGCATTGTCTATAGATTCAAATTCCCCAAGGTACTGATTTTGGGCAACGGGAATCAATTTGAAGACATCAAGTTCCAGAACTGCTGTGTAAATATGGGAATCCAATAGAACTTCACCTTGGTAGCCCATCCCCAAGCAAACGGTTAGGCCAAAGTGACGAATAGGGTGATACTCTATAGACTCAAAGCTCGACTCTCCCAATCTAAGGGTTTGTGGGTGGATGAGTTGTCCAGTGTCCTTTGGGCTTACCGAACTACTATCAAGACGGTAACCAAGGAGACTCCTTTTAACCTAACGTATGGGATGGAGGCTATCATCCCAACTGAGATCTAGGTGTCGACCTTGAGGTCTGAGATGTACGATGAGGAGGCTAACAAGGACAATCTACGAACTAACCTCGACCTAGTGGAAGAAGTTCGTGACTTAGCCTATATTCGAATGGCGGCATACTAGCAATAAGTAGCTTGATATTATAACACCCAAGTTAAGAAATGCCAATTTTGAGTTGGCGACTAGTACTCAGGAAGGTTATGGTACCTGAGCCCAGTGTGGGAAAGCTAGGTTTGAACTAGAAAGGCCCCTATAGAGTTTTCAAGGTAATTGGTGAGGGTACGTACAAGCTCAAAACGTTGGAGGGGAGGCAAGTACCCCGTGCATGGAACGTCAACAACCTAAAGAGATATTATCTATGAAGATTTCGGAAGTTTCGAGCTACATCCACAAAGATTTCAAATTATACTAAGTGTGAAAACTGAGACCACCCGCCCCGATGACCTAGTCTAGTCAATCTACGATATGAGCACTTTGGCTAAGTTATACACAAGGGGAAGCCAAACTACTTTTAGCTCTAAGGCCCCCTACGTCGACCTCAGAATACATCAACAATTTGACAACTTGGCATTGTTTTGACAATCAAAATTATGAGTGTAGTCGCTTTGGCACCTAGGCAACTCGTGCACCTTGTTACTTTGACGCCTCAGATTGCGTTTCTAAGACAACCTATTTTCTAGTAACTGAAAGTATAAGGCAGTAAAAAGGGCACAGTATATATAAAAAGTCTATTCCATTAAATGGAAGAATGAAAGAGTACATTGCTACTCAAAAAAAATTAAAGGAAGCCGAGCTCTGAGGCTTGACATACAACTTATATACATGGGGGTCCAAGAAATGGGGCAAAAAGTCAAACATTCCGGGGCTTGTCTACCCCCACACCTTCCATGCCGGCATTAGATCCACTGTCCGCACCACTACTGACCACATCGACCTCGTCCTCCTCCTCCTCAAAGTCAGGCTCTTAATCAACTCAACCCATCATCTCGTTAGTGCATGCTGAGGACTTTATTTTGTTGAGGTTGAACTATGGGCACACCAAAGCCACTAGCATCCAACACAGTTTGAATCCCTTATGAAAAGCACTAGAACCAAAGTCCTCCTTTTCCTTTAAGAAGTTGGGCAAAGTCTTGAACACTTCAACTGCACGAACCTCGACAGCATAGGCATCGTTGAGAAACGTTGGTTGTCGCTCGGTAAGTTCAAAATCTTTCTCCTATAATTGTTGGTCCTTGAGCCTGAGCTCCTCGGTTAGCTTCTCGACCTCCCTCGTCAGGTCTGCAGTGTGACCCCACTCCACCACGAACTTATCCTTAAGGTCATCGATGAGATGGATAGTCCGCTTAATTCAGGACCTATACTCCGTCACTTCCGCCAAAGTGTTCGCCTACAAAAGAGAAAAAAAGGAAATAAGTCTAGAATGAAGATCAAAATGAATACAACAGGAAGTTTGGGAACATACCACCATGAAGGAACGCATAAGCTTTCTACCGAGTTCACTAGGACGTGATTTATTAAGCCTTGCAACCTCTTCAGGAAAGACAACCTCCTTGCTCTTCACCAGGGCAGTCTAGAAGTCCATAATTGTGTGCCTCTCATTAAGATCGGTCTTGGCGTTCGAACCACTGGCCTCCTCGGTCTCAGGTGGTGGAAAGGGGCTCCTTGGATGTACGGACAACCTCAATCTCTAGTGACGTCCTTTCTAGCTGATCTCCCTTGACTAGGTCGACTACTAGCACAATCACAGCAACACTTCACATGGCAGTCTTTAGAGAAACAACCTGAGGTGCCTCCTGTTGAGCCACCTTCATCTTGATGGCATGCTCAACATGTCTTCTGCATGAAAAATTTAAGGGTGAGTCAAACTATAAAAAGAAAAGAAAGTGAAGAAGAAAAAGAAAATGCCCAAGCCTGAGATGATGACCTACCCGAAGGACTCAGCCTGACTTGGATCAGCTTCTCTTAGGCCAAGTACTCACTCAACATAGACTTCTAGTCCACTAGGACCTGCACTCTTGCTTGCATTCTCTCACTCAGAGTTTCCTCCCTAGTGCCCCTCACTCCCTCTCTCCAGGTCATGAAGAACGACCATCTATTACATTGGTCAAGGAAGAAATACTTCCTCTTCTTGGTTGGTACTTTGGAGGGGAAGCTGTTTAGTAASTTACACCCAGGGCAGTAAGACAAGTAAGAACTGTACATCTCAGGAGTATTGGATGCTTTTTTATTTATGTAGCATATGCCAGTGAAGGTCCTAACATCTAGGGGAAGCTGACATGGTGACAAAAGGAGATGATGCCAACCAGGGTCCTAATGGAGTTGGGATGAACCTGACCTAAGCTAATGTTATAATAGTTCAACACCTCGGGGATAGGTGGATGAAGGGGGAATTGAAGACCCACTTTCAAGGCCTCCTTGAAGACAACGGTCTCATCTTCCTCGTGCTCCAACAGGTACTGCCCAAGGGAAGGGAATATCTGAACTGATTTAGAATCTTATATCAAGCTAAGAGATCATAAACATTCTCAGTAGAGAGCTTCGTGGAACCAAACTGGTCTGGTGCGTTAGCCCTATGGGAAGACGAGGCCCTCTTGTGAGAACCTCGTCATTCTTGAGCCAAGGTCCCTTCCTTGGCCTAGAAGCACGGACCCCTCTCTTCTCCAGACTCACTATCAGACATTATGAATGAAACAAAACTAAGGGATCACCTAGGATGAATAAACCGACTTCGCCGATAACACTGATCACTCCAACAACACCAAGCTCCATAATCTCACCAAAAATATAGGGACAAGAGAAATGGGCCATTGAGGGTCCTATTTTATAGACGGATGAACTGAACTATAGACGGTTGAGATCAGTTGGGTCTAATGATTTGTAGGGGTGTGACAATTCATATTCCGAGGTGAAATCAATTTAGTGCATTTTTTATGTCCGTGCGAGCTAATGGTTGCATGGCATTTACACGTCCTGGTATGCTACCTTATGCCTAGGCTAGACCAACTGAACCAACTAGATCCCAAGCCATCGGTCAGACCACAAACGAGGATGAAAGTTAGACCAAATCATCTCGGTTTAAAACTGCTCTCTCACCGGACTAACCACACCAAACTTGGGAGTTGGGGGGCAATTGATGAGGGATAATTTGGTCATCCAATGATATTGCAACACATGGCATTGTAGAACAGTAGAGTGACACCTCGACACCACGTAAGTAGACCACTTCGGACACTTCAGCGACCTCGGCACCACCTCGGTAGGCTGAACTGCAAACAACTTGGTAGGACCTCAAGTCGGCGTAAGAGGCGACCTGCCTAGTGTGCCGAGCGACCTCTCCCTTAAATAGACTATCACCTCCGAATTCCCCAGGATCATAATGCCACGTTGGTAGAGCTAGCTATCAGCCCACTCACTTTGGGCAGGATTGGATAAACATTACTTGCTTGCACGGAGTCCCTCTCCATGTGTGAAACCACCTTTGAACCAAATGGGCCAGAGATCCCAGAAGCATTTCGTGAGGCTCACGGCAGCCCGCCTATATAAGGGCCTCACCTCCAACCTCATAAGGTATGCACAATTTAGCACTTAAGCTCTCTTGCTTCCTATCTCTCAAAAAACTCCAGTTTGTTGACTTAAGCATCAGAATGTCCACACTGGGTAAAGTAGTCCGATCTATCCTCCAACAGGGAGCTACCAGATCGCGCACCATCACAAATGATATCCATTTCATCTTAGACTCAAACCGGATTCCAATCTTAACATAGGTTATCTTATTCAAATTTATATTGTAAAGTTGATTTGACGTTGTATGTTTGCTAAAAGAGTTATAAGTTTAAGTCTATTGAGGGCATTTGATAATAACTCAAGTGTCTGAATTGAAAAGCTTATTGCTTTGTCTTTTTAGTGAATAAACTTTTATAGAGGTGGGCTTCGTAATGCTTCTTAACGGCCATAGTTGGAGTTGGGTAGATTACTATACCCTTGAATATTTTATTATTTAATTATTTTATCCATAAAAAAATAAAGCAATAAGTTGTTCAGTTAAGCAATTTCAGTTGTTATTAAATGATCCTTTAGTAATTATTTTTAGGGTAAAAGACTTTAAACAAAGGTTTTCGAAATTGACTTAAACATTCTCTGATGTTTCCAAATCTATACTACTTTAAAAAGCACAAATAGCCTTAAAAATATTTTTGAAATTTTCTAAGAACAAAAATTTACCCCCCCATATTTGAACTTATTGATAAAAAATGAGGCCGAATAGGACAATCAGTTATTGATATTAAATGAGTTGAAAAGAGCTAATTATAAGATATTCAATGCATTCAATTCCCACTCGTTAAGTCCAACATTTATGGTATTTAACTTGCATTTATCTTCATTGAATCATAAAGGCATTCAATTCCCTGTCCCCGACTTTGATCCTCATTGGGCATAAAAATGACCTTCCATCCTTGATCCCCAATGGAGATGGGTTCCCTATCAAGGACTTGAATTCCCAAAATTTCTAAATTAAAATTGTTTTTTAAAAAATAGATTTAATTAAAATAAGGGCAATTTTTAAAATATAAAAATATTTCAAATATATTTTGATATAAATAATTTCATAAATAATATCATAAATAATATAAATAATATTATATCTTTATAAATTTAATATATACAATTATGGTCGGGAGGGGGTGGAGAATTCACTCCCCATCCTCAACCCGATCGAGTTAGGGAAGCTAGGTACTCAATGGGGATGAGGAAAATTGCCATTCCTATAATCAAATTCACAACCCACATCTGCTTGTCATTAGCTTTCCTAATCCTATACCTTTTCTGTTTTTCACCTAAAATTCTAAAGGCTCAAATTGGAAGTAGTATAAATACATGTACAGTACAAAATACATACAAAATAATACAAAATGTAAGGTTTTGCACTCTACATACTTGTATTTGTACTCCTTCCAAACTGAGCCAAATTCCCTCTAATATGTGTCATCTTACCTCCCCAACCGATTCATTACTTAAAGTCAATCTTCTTTAAGGACAATTTACATTGACACCCTTATCTCATAAACTAAAATTGTAAAATGATATTGATATCTTGATGCCAAATAGGAAAAATAAAGAATATTACCAAGAATTGCCCTTCCCTAATGCTGCATTTGGAAACGATGCAAATGGAGTGTAAATCCAGGTTCAGGGTAAATTTGCACTCTCGTTCATTTTTGCCTGTGTTTGGCAACATTACATTTATGCATTGATAAATAACAGAAAACACATTTTCCAATACAAATTTACATTGATAATAAGATGTAAAAGTACAGCAATAAAAAAGAAGTAAATTTGCATTCAAGTGGGCTTTTGATAAAAAAAAGGCATATTCTTTATTGGAATTCGTATTTGCATCCATTACAGCTAAAAACCTATTTGGTAAGAAGGTAAATATGTTGGTGCAAAACTAACCCAACTTTGCAATTTATATAGACTGTTTTACACTCTACATATTTGCATTCACACTTATTTGCATCATTTCCAAAAGCAGCCTAAAAGTTTTAAAAGAACGAGGGAAAAGTGAGGAGAAATAACAAAAAACAATCCAAATTAAAATAGAATTAAAATTATTTGGACAATAATAGATTTATATGAGAGAGAATGAATGTCTTATTAGTAGTTAGTTTCAAACTCTTGGACTAGGAGACACTCTTGCCTGAGAAATCCAAGTCCAAGTACAACCAATAAAGCTAATAAAAATTTTAATTTCAGTGACGTGGTTGGACTAGCTGAGAGAGAGAGAGACCTAAATTTTAGTTTCAAACTTTGAATAGGATTCTAACACAGAAATCCCAGGCCAAGTATAACTAAAATACCTAAATTTTAGTTTTGCATTCAATTCTCACACTACTTGTTAACCTTTCATCAAAACCATGTTGCCATATTTGAACCGAATGTTGAACCATACTGGTTTGGTCATTGGGCCACAAGTTGAATGGTTCACCCATATGCTTGGACAGTTAGACCATTTGACTCACTCAAAATAAAAAAAAAAAAATTGCAAAAAAAAAGCTAACCCAGATTATCTTTTAAAACTATTTTAGTATTTTACGTTAATATAAGCATAAACCCATAAATATTATTAGAGTTAACAACGCCCATTCAAAGATTGACCAAGTCAAACTGCCGATTCCATAGATGTAATGGTCTGACCATCCGGTTTGATCTTAATCTGGCTTCTGGATAAGCATTTCTCCCGCCCAAATACTGTCGTGGGCAGAACGTAACTGCCGAGCTTGTTGAAGAGTTTCCTAACTGTGTAAGCTTTCTCTGCTGCGTAAAAGCGATTACGCGAGTCCCAGATTATCGAAACTATGCTTTCTGCTACAGAAAAGAAGAAAACAGAGCAAAGAGACTTACACAGAGAGAAACATGATCTCGAAGATGGAGAAGGCGACATGGATTAGAGGAAAAACCATCGGCTAAGGAAGCTACGGTGTTGTTTCATTGGCCGAAACCAACCACCATCTCTTGCCGCCTGTTATAGCTGTGAAATCGTCTGAATACTCTGAATCTGGATCGATTCGGGAGGAGAGAAAGATTCTTACCCAACTCCAAGACTGCCGACAAGTTATTCACTGCTATGGCGAGGATGTCACCGTTGAGGACGGTTTCACCATCTACAATCTGTTGCTTGAGTACGCTTCTGGAGGCAGTTTATATGACCGGATAGTGTGTTCTGGTGGGGGGTTGCCGGAATCGGAAGTCAGGCGCTACACGCGCTCAATCCTCACAGGGCTCAGTCATATTCACAAGTGTGGATTTGTTCATTGCGATATCAAGCCAGAGAACCTTCTGCTCGTGCCCAGCTCGTCTTCTAAGGGGAGGAGTTCTGTCAAGATTGCCGATTTCGGGCTCTCTAAGAGGGTTGGAGAAGATATGCTCTGCAGGAAGGATGGGATGATGTTGAGGACCACGCCTCTGTATGCAGCACCTGAATCGATTAGCTTCTGTGTGTATGAGCCTTGCTCTGATATATGGGCTCTTGGCTGCACTGTCATAAATATGATAACCGGTAAGACTGCCTGGGATTTTCCTCCCGATACTGATGTGGATATATTCTTGAATGAGATTGGTTTCAAACCCGTTGTGCCTAAGATACCAGAGGAGTTGTCCATTGAAGGTAAGGATTTCCTCAGCTTGTGTTTAACTAGAAATGAGTCTCTACGATGGACTGCAGATATGCTACTATTACATCCATTTGTAGCAGTTGATGATGAAGATGATGAAGTGGAAACAGAGAAATTTGAGTTTGTTAAATCTCCAAGACAGGTGTTTGACTTCCCTCTGTGCCGAACCACCTGGTATCACTATTCACTCAAAACCCTCAGGTTTTGAGTGTAACTGGTATTCTGGATTTGCAGCAGAGAATCAATTCATTGAGCATTGTCTTATCAGTATCAGCACAAATACTCCTCATGAACCACCAGGTTTTGAGCGTAACAGGACTCTCAGAAGAAATAAGGTGGCCTCTCAGTCAATTATGTTGCCTGCTCTAAGTAAAGATGCCATTCCTGAAAAACCACCAGGTTTTGAGTATAACAGGTGTCCCAGAAGATATGCAGCTTTGTCTCGGTTGATCGAGTTCCCTACTATTGCTCTGATTTTTGGTTCTTTTATTTTGTTGTATATCATCTCATGTAACTTAGTACTTCTTTTAAATTTAATCAGTTAAGTTTTTTTTTTTTTTTCTACTGTTGGCACAAGCGCCATTCCTGATATACCACCTGGATTTGAGCATTAGTGGTGCTCCAAGAGTCCTGCAGTGGCATCTCATCAGATAACTGGAGGGTCTCCTATCAGAACAAGTCCTATTTTTGAACAAACATCAGGTTTTGAACCACGCAAGTCAACAGAGGAGAGAGTCCCCTGCTATGCCAAATTTCTCTTCCTGTAGTCTCCAAGGCTTGATTGTATTTATTCAGAATCTGTAAATATAGTGCACGTAAATACATATCAAAAAATTTTATTTATCAATTATTTGCAAATTGTCCATTCACCTGAAATAAATTGTTGGATTTATTTTCACTTTTGTTTGTGGACTTTTTCCTCTGCTTATTCTTATTTTACTAGTTCATTTGCTTTTATTCAACCTACTTTCAGCATTTTGCATGTTTGAGGAAGAGCAGTTAGATTGAGTTATAACTGGCTCTATAATCGAAATTACATTCACAAATGCTATTGCTGCAATATTCAACATTGATTGTCATCCAAATGGTTTCAGTTTCTCCTGAAATATGCAATGCTCTGCATAAGTTTGCATGTAGCTGTATGGATTAGTTTAAGAATGCCATGAGAAGTTATCTCAGATGCTCTTTGCATTTTAGCATATATGTGCATGTAACTGTCAAAACATTCTTTGTAAATATTAAAGAAGGTGATCTTCAGAGGTCACTGCTTGGTCAAGTGGTCTAATCTGAGGCTGGCATTTATGAAAAATTAGGTCCAAGTTTGAGTGTGGTAACTTTTCGAAAAATATGCTCAAGGTTAGGTCTGTATAGCATACCCCTCCCAAGACCCTCCTGGATAGCTTGGACCAAATTAGGTAAAGGCCCTTTTTTATTAAAGGAAATGTTCTTCATTTTCCTTCATTTGAAGGTCAGCCAGGCCTCACTTCTAGTTGTTACATTTCTGTATGTAATAGATCTTTTAAAGATTTGCTAAAATTGATGAAATTGCCAGGCTTATGCTCATTTAACTGCTTGGATAATGATTTACAATGCATAGCTCACTCTGATGGTTCTGGACATATATGAGCCCTGTTTCACCAATCTGTTCTATTAAAGCCATATCTACTGTAAAAATATTAGTGCTTGAATCATTTTTTATTACTTTTACTCATGTCCTTTTTAGTCTACTCCTAGCCCTTCTAGCTCTTGAATTTGTAACAATTCACTTCTTCTAACGGGTGTTGTTGATGGTCTTCTATGCAAGTTTGTAATAATCATTTTCCACATAAAGGAAAAAGTGTACTAGGGAATCCATATTTAAAGAGGTTGACAAACCCAATCCATATGATCCGTAAAAGTCTTCAACCAATTCAGAAAAAAATTAATAAGGTACAATAGTCCTCTCTATTTGAAACTAGAGGTTAACAATCATCAAGGAAAAATCATTGGCTCACAACTACAGCAACAACATCACCAAATGAAAGGTGGATTTCAACAAAAAAAAAAAAGTTCAGATCTCATCAAATTACTATAAATATGAAATTGTGAGAAGAAGAAGAAGATGATCAGTCCAAAGTGGAGTGAGATTCTTATCTCCTTAACAACACCAAAAATCTCATCAAGAATGGGCATCTAACTCATCCAAATTTGGCCTTCAACGGAGCAAAAGACAAACTCTTTCTTCATCTTCCATCACACACCTCCTGTAGGTGTGTACAACTCACCCAGACCCTCAAAGAACACTCAAACACCAAGAGTAATACCACAGAAGCACTTACGAGCAGCTTGCAATCAACCCCAATGCTGTGATGAACTTGTGGTACACCGCCACCTATGCGATGAACCCTCAAGACTTTAAGCAAAGCTGCAAAAAACCCGCAGCTCACCAAGTTCAGTTAATGCCCAAACCTAAATAAACCTCAGAAAGACCCATCCAAGAGACCCAAACACACCTAAGTGTGCGATGAAGCCACACCAGCTATAATGTGCAATGAACTCACAACCTGCAAGACCGCTTTGGATAACAGGATAGAAAAGGCAGTAGGTCGAGCCCACAGTGAGGCTCGCATGTGCCCAAACAGATGCGAATCCAAGATGGCAAAGGGCTTTGCAAGCCGCTATGTAAAACTGATGAAATACCAACCACCGAACGATGACATCACCGTTGCCACATAGGATTAGTTGTGATGGACAAAAAGGTAATAGCACATGTGAGCAATAAGGAATCTCAAGGATAGGGAAAGCCAATCCTTGAGAAGATCCTCATGAAACACATGGCGATACCTCAGTAGCGCACCTGATAATTGACAGCAAATCGAATATTCCCTTCCCTGATACAGAGCAAATATCTTAATCTCCTACCTTTTAGGATCTGGAAACCTCCTCCATAAATAGAGATCCTCCTCACATTAGAACTCATCCGATCCTAATCATTTGTCACCGGTATTCTCGAGTATCCACAACCTTCTCATTCCCTAGACCCTCTTACCAAAAGACTTTCACTTCCCTTCACCTTCGAGGCTTCTCTTTGTTAGACAGTTTTGTATGCCCTTAGCTCCAATCAATTTGATGTACTTATGACATTTATTGTAAATGAATAAAGTGCATATTTGATTCATGTTATGTGGTGTGTTTCTGTGTAATACCCTTAAACCAGACACTTATGAGACTTGTGTTGGTTTAGAACGTTCACAGCTAGTGAGTCGGTCTGGGGAGACCTATCCTGATAAGGCTGACACTGATGTGCCACCAAGTCGGTTGGGGTGGCATGTCTCTGCCACCAGGGTGAGACCCGAGGTACATGCAATGTGGGATCATCTTGAGACCTTGAACTGGACTAGAATTCCAGTGTTGCCCTGGACCTTGGCAATTAATGGGCAAAACTGGAATGTTACACCTGACCCCTAGACTCGATTATGGTACCGCACTGGGAGGCGGATTGGGCCATCTTTGATATGCCAATCAGTGAGACCCTTAGAGGGGGGTCAAAACCTGGGTATGTTGAGATGATTCATGAACCCATCTGAGTGGGTGATCATAGTGACAGGATCAGCCCCTTTGTCGGACAAAGGTAATGAGCGGGGAAATGCACTCTCTCTAATGGAAACCAAAACTGCCAGCAGTTGATTTCAATCGTTGAAATTTTGTTTTGCAAAATATATTTATATAATATATATACTATAGGTTTCCGAAGTTGTTTGCAAAAGGTTTTAATCCCCGGGGTCCATGTAAGAGGAGAGTGCAGCACCGTACCTTGTAGTCGGGGGAGAGGTCCTCCCTTGTCGGGCAGTGTTTGATCATTATGGGCTGAGAGGTTAAGTGTAAGGCCATTGAGGGTTAAACCTGATGGGCTAATCTTGCATCTGCCCACAGTCCTTAGGTGTTACAAGGTGGCTTGGCCGAAGGACCACTTAGTGTAAATGTCRGGCCCATAGAGTCCATATGATGGAATCAAGGGGTTCACTGGGCTTTCCAGTGAATTCGGCTAGGCCTTGTGATAGAAGCTGGGCCGGACCCTCGTGGCTGATGTGTAGATCAACGTTTGGGTTCCACGCCACACAGAGAAAGCCCAACTAGGCAGTAATTTGGAAGGCTTAAGTGAGCACATGCGTTTAATGGGCCAAAAGCCCAACTCAAATTGGGCTAATTAGAATTGGCTTGAATGGGGCGAATCTGAGATGTAGACCAGCCTTAAAGGATAAGGGAAAGTCCCTATCCACTCAGTAAGAGTCCAAATTTGAATATGATTCAAAACTGGAAACTCCTAATTAAATTAGGAGGGCTGATCATGATCTGCATATCAGATAAGGTCTCTACCTTATCACTTAAGGGGATCAACATCTCCTAATAGGATTAGGAGCTGATCCCTTTAGGGTTATAAAAGGAGGAGGGGGTGACAGCTTCAAAACTACACTCATTTGAGATACAAACACAACATAGAAGAGAGAAATCAGCATACAGTGAGACTGCGCCAATTTCTCTCTGCCGCCTCCTTCCTGCCGCCGCCGCCATTAGCAGTTCGTCTCCACTCACGTGGGAGACATCAAAAAACGTTCTTGGTTTCAGTTCTTTGTGAAAGAATTGAAAAGAAGTTGTGCTCACCTGCCGTCCAGTGGGTTCTTGTGAAGGATCCAGTTCTTGCGAAGAACATTGCTGATTCTGCTCCGTCCTACACTGCGCCATCTTCAGTGGGAGAAGTCTTTGGTGACTTTTCTGGGCGTGAACACCTTCGTTGGGGGATACTAATTCTCCGTATCAGGTATTTCCCTCTTCTACTATTTTGTTTCAGATGTGGTTTGGTTTTTTATTCAAGATTGATCCTTGAAAATTAGTTTTCTAAAATAGGGAAGGCGATTCCTAGTTGTAGGAAGGAAAGAAATTTTTGAAATTCGCCCATTCTATTCGGCATTATCCGGGCGTCCATACGATGGATCTTTCCATTCCTTCACTCTTCGTCTTTCAAAGAGACTGCTTCCCAACTTAGCCTCATATCCCCATCCTACAGTAAAATATCTGGTTACATGTTTGACCATGAAGAATGGCCTCAAGAAGGATCAACTTTACCACCATCCCCAAGGAACAGAGCAACATCCAAGAAAGCACTAACCCTGAAATTAAAAACCAACTGGAGATGGAAACACCCCTCCAGGCTGATATCCATATCTTGTCAAACAAGGTCTACGGGTTCGAGGAGTGCTTCGAGGAACAGTTCAGGAAACTTGAGCGGAACATGGAAGAAACAAGGAGCGCCTTCCAGATCCTACTCAACCGTTCAGCCCAAGCTAAGTAGACCCCCACCATCACTATCCCTGGTGTCTCGAATTCCAATCCTAACTCGAACCTTAATCCTAGCCGCCATGTTTCCAATCCAACTCCTATTATCCCCACACAACCCAACAGAGTCAACCAGGCTTAGGCCCAGACTGACCTCCCACCAG